ATCGGCCCGGCCGATCGCCAAATCGTCCCGGGACGATCAGACCAGAATGATCGGCCTGGACGACTCCCAGAACTATTCTCAGGCCGATATTTTCTACAGTGCCGATCGGCCTGGACGATCCTGAGAGGAAAAATCCAAATCAGAGAGGAACAGTAAGGGAACGAGGTCTCACAACAGCCCTCACTCTTATCCCCAAGTCTAGTAATGCTGAAGCTATTACTAATTTTTGTTCAATTTCTCTTTGCAACACATCTTATAAGATTATTGCAAAATTACTTGCTGCTAGAATGAAGCCCATTATGCCCCTTATCATAAAAGAAAACCAAGTTGGTTTTATTCATAAGAGGATTTCAACAGATAATGTTATTCTTGCAAATGAAATCCTTCTACATTCTAGACATTCCTCCAAATTCAAGCTTATGTGTGCTAAACTTGATATTAAAAAGCCTTTTGATAGTGTATCCAGGGAGTTTCTTATTGCAAAGATGCTACAAAAAGGTTTCCTAATTCAGTTTGTCAATTGGATTGAAGCTTGCATTAAAGATGTATGGTTTTCTTTATGCATTGATGGAGCTCTTGAAGTCTTTTTTCCCTCGTCGTCTGGGCTTAGGCAGGGGTGTCCCCTAAGTCCTTATCTTTTCTGTATTGTGATGGATGCATTTTTCTGTTTGCTTGATAATACTGCTAATGATAATGTATTTGATGCTCTCACTATTGGAGATCAAAGGCTTTCCCACATAATGTATGCTGATGACCTTATGATATTTGAGAAAGATAATATAAGGAACTGTGAAAGTCTGAACCAAATTCTTAAGGAATTCTCTATGGCTTCAGGTTTGGAAGTGAATTTTGGGAAGAGCTCCATTATCTTACCTCCTAATTGTCATATAGCTGAAGACATCTGTGCTATTTTCAGTATTCCTGCTACTTCCTCTAGCTTGGTCTATCTTGGGGTTCCTTTATCCCCCTACAATCCTAAGCTTGCTAGCTTCTCAAAGTTAATGGAAATTGTCACATATAAACTCTCTAGTTGGAAAGCTAAAGCTTTATCATTTTCCGGTAGGCTTCAGTTCCTTAGGTACACTATTTGGAACACGATTGGTAACTAGGTTTGTGGGGTCATTTTACCTAAAACCATTATAAAACAAATTGATAAGCTTTGTGCTAAATTTTTCTATTTTTGTGAACCTATTGGAGGAAATTGCATTTAATTTCGTGGCGTAATACTTGCAAACCCAAAGAGGTGGGAGGTCTTGGGTTGCCATCCTTGCATTTTGTTCAATTCGGCTTTAATTGCTCTTTGATTGTGAGAATCTACAATTCAAATAGCCCTCTTGCTAAGTTGTTGTTTTACATGTATGTCTCACCATGGAAGGAAGCATCTAAATTTTGGAAAAGTGTTTGTAGGGATGTCAAGCTTAGCAAAGAAAATTTTCATTTTAAGATCTTTCCTAATTCCCATTTATCTCTATATTGGGACCACTGGTTTAATGACAATCTTTTAAAGGACGTGCGGGAGATGCACCCCATTCTCAGCCTCTTCCCTACTAATGCTAAAGTCTCTGTAATTCTAAATGGGAAAAGGTGGGAATTGCCTGCTTCGGTTCCAGATTATGTAGCCCAAGCGCTTTCTGTGATACCTGTTGAATCTAATGTCCCACTTTATTGAGGTAGGGGAAACAACAATAATCATAGGGCTTACCGGGATTTTTATTTTAAGGAGTATGATAAAGTCGATTGGCAGCATTTTGTTTGGCATAAGCGGTATGCTCTTAGATTCTTTTCGTTTTATTGGATGGCTCTAACTGGGGGTATTAAGACTGCTGATGTCCTTATTGCTAAGGATATCATTGTTGATGCATCTTGTTCTTTATGCCATAGCTCAAATGAATCTGTGACCCATTTATTTTTCGAATGTGACTATACTTTCTCTGTCCTATCTAAAATTTTGAGCAATTTGGAAACTCTGCTGCTTAGGCCAAACATATTGCAAATTTTTGAGTATATTGATGATACACATCATAAAGTCAAGGACTTTTATTTCCTTATAATTTGTTGTGCATATACCATATTTGGAGAGAATGGAATGATAGGAGGTTTGGCAATCTTTTTGTCTCTTTCTCTACCTTAGCTCATAAGATCAAAACTGTTGTCTTCTCTAAGGTTCTGAAATGGAAAAATGGTTATTTGATGCTGGACTTATTATAATGTGTTGGAATCACTTTCCTGAAGCTGACATGGGTGTATTTATGCTGGTTTTCTTGGTGGGTACTTATATCTGGTACTGCTATGGTATTTCTGGGCGTAATTTTCTTTTTGGTTGGTTGGCTGTGGCTTCAGTTCAGTGTTGATGTAGTTGAGAAGTTTTGTATCCAATCAGTTTTTTTGTGATTGGTGGGCGAGGATGAACGAATTGTTTTTTCTCTTTTGGACGACAGTTTTTTGAAGTCAATCTATTATCTGCAACCAGGTTGAGAGAGTTGTAATTCCTGAGCCCGGTGGTTTAATATTACTATCCATGTTTGGATGTATTTTTGTTCACTGTCTTTTTGATAACTTTTTGGTAGCTTCTCTTACATCCCTTTGTAATTTCTTTTTGTGAAGTGTTTTGTTGTTTTCCCTTTATTGTTGGAATGTGCCTTATAGGTTTTCTTATTGTGTTTTATTCTTACCTTACGTGTAACTAGCTTATAGATCGGAATGCAATAGAAATTTTTTTTGCTGGTCCAAGGGGTCAGAGACAAATCTATAAAAAGAATTTTTTTGGGGAACATAATCTATTGAGGGATTTTCTTCCAAAATTGCTATTGCTTGCCGGGAGGGGAGAGATAGGCGGAGAGAGAAGGAGGAGTGAAAGAGAAAGAGTGCGTGTACAAGCAAGGGGATCGATCCCAATGTCTCCTCGGCCTCCCAACTACGAGTTCCAGGAATGGTGGAACCGCCAGCGCGAGTGGGCTCTCCTCTCGCCGAAGAAGCCTGACGAATCCTCTTCCGGTGCCTTCATCTCCGAAGCCGCCGCCGCCTCCTGGTCTGCCGTCGACCTCTACGCCCCCATCGCCGAAGGCAGGAGCAAATCCCGAGGCCGCAGTGCCCGCCAGCTCTCCCGCCATCTCTTTCTTGTGCTATTGCGCGCTGCCGTCTTCCTCCTATCCCTCCCTGCCCGCTTCCTCTCCCTCCTCCTCATTGCCATTCGTCGCGCCGCATCGGCGCCTTCCGACCGTCCCGACAACCGACTTTACCGCCTCATTCGGGCTTTTCTCTTCCTCGCTGTGTTCCTTTTCTTCTTTGAGGTCGCTGCTTACTTCAAGGGATGGCACTTTCAGCCCCCCTCATATGCCGCATCCGCCGAGGCGCTGGAGTTCATCTACGCCCGATGGTTGATGGTTAGGGCAAAGTACCTGGCGCCTCCCGTGCAGGCCATGGCCAATGTCTGCATCATTCTTTTCCTCGTGCAGTCCGTCGATCGGATCGCGCTCGTTCTGGGCTGCTTCTGGATCAAGCTCCGGCGGTTGAGACCCGTGATTGCTGTTGAGTACAAGGACCAGGATTTGGAGGGCGGGAAAGTGGACGTGGAGGAGGAGTATCCTATGGTCTTGCTCCAAATCCCAATGTGCAATGAGCGGGAGGTAAGCAGATGTAGCAATTTATATTTTAAAAAGCTCTTTATTTGGCAAGAACCTTTATATAATTATGCATGCAGAGTATTATATTAGCTAATACTTATTGTTTGAGACTTTCAAGCTGCGGTTTCTGGACAAATGGCGTGGTTTTATTTGCAGACCTTTAAATTCCGGTCATGGTTGTTAGCTTAATTGGAGTCTGCATGATGATATATTGGTGAAAGTATTAGAAACATTGAAAATTTATGATGGAGAATGAGTTAGGTTCTAGCTTCTTTGCTGCTCCAGAGTAAAGACTACCAGTGTTCAGATCTGCATTTTAGTCTCCTTTGGAGCTTTCTGTACTTTCTACTCCTGTTGGTATAATTTTAGGAATCCAGATCTCGGCTAGAAATTTTCTCACCGTTCCATGATAGTTATCAATGCCTTTATTTTGGATGAAAACACTGTCATATATTAAATTCTATGTAATACAGTATAGCCTAAGCCAACACATGAACTAGAAATATCTATACCTTTCCAGAACCCCCTTTAGTGTTTCAATTTTCACAAACCTGTTCTCTTGTGGTTAACTGATTGATATTAATGTTGATTTAATATTGATTGGTGTTCATGAGAAAACAATGCCATATGGTTTCTTGCTTCTAAAACCTTATGCTACTTTTTGTTAAGATATTTTATTTGCTTTAAATTCAGTTCATTTTCTTTTAGATCTACTGGATGCATGCAACTTGTATATTTCCCCCTATAAAAGTACTACAGTGAAAATAGTGGATATCTTCGGCATGTATTTGATACATAAGCCGGTGTACTTCAACAGTGACAACATCATTCTCACAGAGACAAGAGAACATCAGTTTGTCTTAGAGATTTTTCAAGGACATGGATTACTTAAATAATATGCTTATTAAGTAAATAATGTAATTAGGCAATACACTTTTATTATTATTATTATTATTAGGTTGTAATTAGCTTTGTAGGAGACTGGAGCTAGCTTGATTAAAGATGTATATACATCTGGATATTGTACATAAGAACTTGGGTGATAACATTTTCCTTTTCCTCTTATCCTTCTCTCATCTCCTTCTTGTCATCATTCTATCTTTTTTCCAGATTGCTCTTTACTTTCCTCTCAGCTCATGTGACTCCTATTCCTGTGAAAGGCTTTTCGGCTCTATCAATGGTGCTTTTGTTGTACAACCTTCATGGTGCTCCCTCTCCATTTTCTTCATATGTCCTTGGAAGTATAAAGAGAATAAGGATCTACATGTAATATTTATTGATTCAGAGAAGTTCCAAGAGAAGTGCTATGCAGAGTTCTAAAAAAGAAATATGTTACTAATGCTTATATTCAAGTCATTAAGGATATGTATGCAGGAGTTGTTACTTGTGTTCAAACACAAGTTGCTTTGACTAAGTATTTTCCTATTTCAGTTGAATTACATCAAGGATCAGCCTTAAGCCCATATCTTTTTTGCTTTAGTCATGGATTTCTCACTAAACATTTGCAAGAGGTTGTACCATAGTGTATATTTTTTGCTAATGATATTCTTCTTATTGATAATACTAGAAAGGGTGTTGAAGGTAAACTTGAATTATGGAGATCAACCTTAGAGTCTAAAGATTTTTGTTTGAGTAGATCTAAAATTGAATATATGTAGTGTAATTTTAGTAGTAATAGATCTAGCAGGGGGATTGTGACTTTGGGTGATCAAGTCATGAATAAGATCACACGTTTTAGATATATTGGGTCTATTGTTCAAAGTGATGGTCAAATAGAAGGGGATATTATTAATAGAATTCAAGTTGGATGGTTGAAGTGGAGGAATGCATCGGGCTTGTTGTGTGATAGAAAAGTCCCCCTCAAACTTAAGGAAAAATTTTATAAGATGGTGATGAGACTTGCAATGCTTTATGGTGTAGAATGTTGACCATTAAAAGAGAAGCATAATATTAAGTTAAGTGTTGCAGAGATGATGATGCTCAAGTGGATGAGTGTCTTTACTCTTAGAGATAAGATTTAGAACGAGCATATACATGAAAAACTTGGAGTAGCTCCATTGGAAGATAAGATTATAGAGAGTCGCCTTAGATGGTTTAGTCACATAAAATGGAGAATAGAGGTGTTAGATTTGGCTTATGTTAAGAAAGGTAGAGGTAGATGTAAAAAGACTTAGTTAGAAAATATTAGAAATGACATCACTTTATTTGATTTAAATGAGAATTTGATTATTAACATGACACAATGGAGAAAAAAGAATTCATGTAGCTGACCCCACATAGTGGTATGAAGGCCTGCTGTTGTTGTTGTACCTTTGGATTCATATTAATCTAAACGAGCTCTTTTGGCTTGTTTAGGCTTGAATTATTAGAAAAAATCACAATTTCTTGTAAATAAAATATACACAAAAGTAATAGAAAAAAAATCAAAAGTGATAGAAAAAAATCACACGTAATTGTTTTTAATGAAAATTTATAATTACAATAAGAATCTCCAACTCAAATTATACAACAAAGATGATTTCATTACACTTTATTTAATTAATGAATCTATTACAAAATTACCATCAACACACTATTTCAGTCCAAGTTGATGATACTCTATAGTCTCTTGCCTCGTGCAATACTGAACGGTAGCCTTATTGAATAAGAGTAAGGCTTGCATATTCAAATTACAAAAAAAAAATGAAGTTATGAAAATTGAGAAGTTATTAAAAAAATTTTCATAAGTTATTATACCTTTTCAATAGATTAAATCTGAAATATTAATTTAAAATATAGAGGTTTGGATTGAAATTTAAGTTTAAACTTCTCGTCTTCACAAGGTTTACACGACATTTTTATGCCATATCAGTTATAGAGGACTCAAGAGTCAAAATTCGTCTTTCAGACAACAACAATACCCATGATAATCTTTTAAATTCATGATAATTTGCTTAAATTAATCATCATTGCCTATTGGAAAATCTCAAAAATGAGTATCCAACTAGTAGCATCCATTTTTAATAACAGAGCTAAATAAAATAACCAAGGACAGAAAATCTCCAGCTAAGTAAAGCAAATTACAAATCTCCAAAAAATCTATTCAAAATTCAAAACAAATAAAAGCAAATCTCCAGCATCCACTAGCATCCAAATCCAGCTAACAGAGTTAAATAAACAGGCATCCAAAATCCAATATCCCGTGAAGAAAAACAAATGTGCATTATTCACAATAGGTGCAACAGACATTCAATCCAGCAAAGAAAACCAAACATTTGGAATATTCCAGCATCTCATGCCCAAGCATTATAAGAAGAAGCCTTCAAAATTCAAATCCAACAAATGAAATCAAATCTCTAGCATCCACATTAGCAAATCTCTAGCAGTAGAGTTAAATGGAATAACTAACTTCAACAACATCTAAATATAGCAAAATAAATTTAGCATTAAGAATATGCCATTTGTGTCTCAGGCTAAGTGAAAAGAGATCAGTGAAAAGAACATTTAAACACAACTGATTAAAGAGGAAAAAATTATCTTTACCATTTGTGGATGATATTTCCTTCTAAGGATAAGTAGTAATAAAATAATGTTCTTTTTTTTATTGAAAGTGATATCAACGCATGCATACACCTTTTTTGTTGGGATGGTAGTATTTGTACCCTTTTTAATGTGAGATTGGCCAATGAAGACATATTTAATAGCTTGTAAATTGAGCTTATCTTTGTTTTGGAGTTTTGTATGAATATTTTGGGAATAAGGTAATTTGAGGTGTTAAAGTGAGGAAAGAATTTTGTTAGAATCTTCATAGGACATTTGAACCCAAGAACTCTTGTAGGTAATTTATGTGGATTGCGAGCAACTTTTAAAACTTTCTTCAATAGCTTTTTCGGAACATTCTTTCAAAAAGGAATACCCATGTGATAGTAAGTAGGCGATCATTTGTTTTTTTAGCCTTTCCAATTTTTTTTGGAAAGGTAGAATTTGAAATCCTTCTGATGTAGAACAATTATGGAAAGATGAGATGCTTAAAGACGTTTGCACGTTTAATTTTAGAGAACAATAATAAGCAAGATCTCATGTTGATTTGAACGATAAAATAAAATATTAAAGTGATAAATAGCGTTGGTTAAATAACGTGCATAGAAGTTAAGAGCATAAAAATCAATCAATTTAATCCACTTTTGCATTCGTGAATGATCCCAACAATAAATCCCTTCGTTAACATTAAGACTAGCTACTACAAGGAACCCTTCGCTCAACTCTTCCTATTACTATGCTTTAGCGGAGGGACCAACATCTTTGTGAATCAAAATATAACCACGTTGGAGAAATATACTAAGAGGCTAAAGAGTCGAATGTCGAGTTTATCCAAAGATAAGAGAGATGCGCGCTCTGACAAGATCGTTTGAATGCTGGGGAAGATGTGGGCAGCAACCAAGAGCTATGATGTAGAAATTCCGATCCACATAATCTTCAATGGTGGCGCCGATCTCTATGTTGACGTCACGAAAGACGATCTCAAAACGCCCACACGTCCTTGGGAATCAAAGACTAATCTCTGATCAATATTCGGATCGGCCATGCATAGTTGTCCAGGAGAAAATGTAGAGAGGGGGAGGAGGGGATCGACCAAGCTAAGTGGAGAAGGAAAAAAAAAATCTGAAATTAATTTCAGATTTAGCGAATAATTAGAGATTAATCTCCTCTGAAATTTGAATTTGAAATTAGTGGAGATTAGGAGGGAAAGTGGGGAGGGGATTGAATTAATTAGATCCTTAATTTATGGGATCTAATTAATTAAATGGGGGAGCTTAGGTGGCCGGCCAAAGAGGGAGAGAGGGAGGGGAGTTTAAATAATAACCTCCAATTTGTTTGAAATTTAAATTGAAGTCATGAATAAAACTTTCCTAAATAGGAATTTCCAAAATTGGAAAGTTTTGAAATTCAAAATTTGAATTTCAAATTGACTCCAATTTTCCCTCTCAAGCCCAACTAAATTTGGAAGATAGCATGATGATTGAGATCATCATCACAATGGAAAAGGGGGCTTGGTGGGGGCGGTGGCAAGAGGAAGATGCGGGTTTGGCTTTGGGTGGAGGTGGCTAGGAGCTAGGCCGGCGGGTGGAATTGTGGAGGGGGAATTTGGTGGGGATCAAGGGGTATTTTGGTGGCGGAATGAAAGTGGAGGGAATTCGATGCAAGAAAAATTAAAAGAAAAAGAAAGATAAGAAAACCGCGAACCTTGGAATCCACCAAGATTGACGGGTATTGCTTTTTCCCCACTTGGGCCTCTCCTCTCACGAACTCACTAAGAGATCATCCAAAGAGAGAAAACTTAGAACTCACTAAGAGATCCATAAGCACAAGCTGAAAATTTCATATTAATTATCATTAGCCCTTCTCCAAGAAGAGGGATTTAAATAGACAAATACAAGAAGGAAAAAATAAAAGACAACAATGCCCTCGGGGCTTACAAAGAACTAATTCCTTAAGCAAGGGCATAAATGGAAAAATATAGAAAATAAATAAATACATCACTTATAATTGAAATAAAAAGCCGTCATCGTAGCCGTCGATCATCGACCATGTCCCTGATGGAACATTAAGGGTCTGATGTCCGCATCACCTTCTCTATATTATATGGAATATCAACAAGAAGACAACTTTCCAAAATTGTAGAAACAATTATTAAAAAGAAATCAACAAATGTCAACTTTCTCCATTGCTTGAAAGCAAGGATTAAGCAAAACTCTGAAAGAAGATGACAAGGTAAAAGATAATAATCTTTCTAAATAAAAGCTTGAGTTTTTACTTGATAGAACTAAGGAGAATGAATCATTTGAGATTGACCTATATTTATCTAGGGAAAAAACTTATTTTTTTGTATTTTCAAATTTAAAATGATGAACTTGATGACTTTCGATCAAATCCATAAATTAGTGTGCTAATTGATCTATCCAAACGAAAAGAGAACGACTCAGTAATAATGATCAACTTATCACCATTAAACAAATGTATCAAGTCAATTAGTTGTTAATTTTAGTTTGGAAATTTTTTTTGAAATCATTATAAAAAGAAAAATTGTGCAAGCATGTCCAACCAATTTTAAACTGCCTATGTCGAAGGTCTCTAAATGTTAATTAGAAATATAGAGTTGGAGTGCATGCTATAGAACGTAAAATCACTTAAAAATCAAGATATAACAACCTCTTATTTCTAAAAAAATCAATCCCCTAAATCCTAATGTCTGACTCAACATGAATTAGGAAAAAGACAAAAGGAACCAATTTATTCGACTTATTCTCATTTTGAATTGCAAGACGGAACATTAATGTGAGCCAACAGCTCATAAATGAAACAAGTGGCGGAGCTAGAAATTTTATTCAGGAGGGGCCTAAATTAAAATAGTTCTGTTTGTCGTTTCATTTGGAATGTTAGAATATATTAAAATAGTTCCGTTTGTTGTCTCATTACCGGAGCTAAGAGGAGCTGTAAGATCAAAAATTAAGAATGCAAATAACATAACCCTTAGAGTTTAGAAGTCATAAATATCTGTTACGGTGGTCTTCGTTTGAGGGCTAGAGAGGAGCGAAAGGGAAAACGAAAGCCGTACTCGAGGTCGTGAGTCGCGAGTTGTGAGAGAGGAGCAAAGAGGAAAATGAACCATTGATACTTATCATGTGTCCAGAAAAAGATGTTGGTAGCTCATCTGAATTTATAAATAACTTTAAAAGAAAGTATTATAAAAATTAGAGCATGTTTCCTCGATTGTAAACTTGTTTTTCTATTAAGTCACTATAACAATCAGCTTTCAGCATTCCGTTCACAATGGAAAGTCATTCCTCCCTCTCTCTTTCAATATTTTACCCCATTAGTCTTTCTCTCTCTATAGTTGAAGCATTGCATGGTCCGGGCAGAAGGTGGATTGAAGACTTGAAACGGTAAAAGCCTGTAATAAATAAAATGAAAGCCCCCTTGATTTCTCTTTCTTCTCAGTTTTTTCAGTGTACAAGTGTGGAAGGTAACAAAAAAATTCTTTTCATCTAATCAGCGAATCTTGGTGTTATTCTCTTATTTTTTATTGTTTCTTAATCCCATGCAAGTATCTCACTTGCCTAGCTCTCCCTCTCTTTTAATAAAACGGTATTTACATTCATTACGGTTATTGCTATTACTGTTAGTACTATTAGGTTTCTGCTAATGCTTCTCTTACAATTTCTAATTACTATTAGTATACACTAATGATTTCTGAAATTTGCATTATAGACAGTTTTTCTCTATTGATTCAGTAGCCACCATTTGTAATGAAAAAAAATCTTGCTTGAATAGGTATACCGGCAGTCCATTGCAGCAGTGTGTATACAGAACTGGCCTAGGGAGAAAATGCTTGTACAAGTTTTGGACGACTCTGATGATTTGGATGTGCAGCTCCTCATAAAAGCCGAAGTACAGAAGTGGCAGCAGAAGGGTGTTCATATCTTATATCGGCACCGTCTCATACGCACTGGATATAAGGCAGGGAATCTGAAGTCTGCAATGGGTTGTGATTATGTGAAGGACTGCGAATTTGTTGCAATCTTTGATGCAGATTTTCAACCATCCCCTGATTTTTTGAAAAGGACGATTCCACACTTCAAGGTATGCTTAGATGAACTAAAAGAGCATGGTATATTATATGATTGGACCATGTCTTTGGTATTTGATTATGGAAGGAGATTTTTTTTTAGTAAATGAAGTGATAATAAATGGAAGGAGGATATATAAATATGAATATTATGAATAGGAAATATTAATATATTACTAATTTTGGGTTGAATGTAATGCGTAGCTATCAACCTACAATTAGATTAGAGCACACAAACTTCCTTGTATGATACGCTTAATTAGAAAATTTTGCTATTGGAAATCTTTCATGCCTTCCAGTACTTGGAATAAATATTTTCTTCTGCAGGGTAATGATGATCTTGCTCTGGTTCAAGCACGCTGGATTTTTGTAAACAAGGATGAAAACTTGCTGACCAGGCTGCAGAATATAAATCTTTCTTTTCATTTCGAGGTTGAGCAACAAGTGAATGGAATATTTATTAATTTCTTCGGTTTCAATGGAACTGCTGGAGTCTGGAGGATTAAAGCACTCCAAGAGTCTGGAGGCTGGCTGGAGAGGACCACTGTGGAAGACATGGATATTGCTGTCCGTGCACACCTTAATGGGTGGAAATTTATGTTTCTAAATGATGTTAAGGTTTGGTCCTCAGCCATCATTTACTGTTCTTTATTCGTTGGAGTTGATCATATATTGTGAAGAAAGATCCACCTTCACTCTCTCTCTCACCCACCTCCCTGATCTGGTATGTCCTTATTGTTCAGTGCCTTTGCGAACTCCCAGAGTCTTATGCAGCATACAAAAAACAGCAACACCGATGGCATTCAGGACCTATGCAGTTGTTTCGTCTGTGCTTTGTTGATATTCTTCGTTCAAAGGTGAGTTTCCATGCTCTCTCATGCACATAAATTTTTTTTCTGTGAATGCAGGCTACGAAGAACTTTACAATCAATTAATTTGCATATCTATAGCACTTGGATTTTAAGGAACTTGATGAAACAGGCACAACGGTTCATAGAATAATGATAATAATGTGATTCATTTGAAATTAATAGCATCACTGGTATCTCATGCAGTAATGGGGTGCATCTACTCACTTACTTATTGTGACATTTATCACCCATTAAACCACGATTCTGAAGCACCCTTGTTTACATAGCGCCTGTATATTTGTTATTTAGGATTACTGTTTGCTTTCTTATTTTAGGTTAGCTGGGCAAAGAAAGCAAATTTGATTTTCCTTTTCTTCCTCCTAAGGAAGCTAATCCTACCGTTCTATTCATTCACTCTCTTCTGCGTCATCCTCCCATTGACAATGTTCTTGCCGGAAGCCCAACTCCCAGCTTGGGTTGTTTGTTATGTTCCTGGTATAATGTCTGTTATTAACATCCTTCCAGCGCCAAGGTCATTTCCATTCATTGTCCCCTACCTTCTATTCGAGAACACAATGTCAGTTACCAAATTCAATGCAATGATATCTGGACTCTTCAAACTTGGGAGCTCGTATGAGTGGATAGTTACTAAAAAGCTTGGAAGGTCATCAGAGGCAGACTTGGTTGCTTTTGTAGAGGACACCGAGAATCGAGCAGAAAGCAGAAGAATCCACAAAGCTTCTTCAGACTCCGGTCTTGCTGAGCTGAACAGATTAGAGCTTACTAGTAAGTCGAGGAGGAATAAACGAAACCGTCTGTATAAAACTGAGCTGTCGCTAGCTTTTATTCTGTTAACAGCTTCTGCCCGAAGCTTGTTATCAGCTCAAGGAATTCATTTCTACTTCTTACTTTTCCAAGGAATCACGTTTCTTTTAGTAGGGCTTGATTTGATTGGGGAGCAGGTCAGCTAATCTGAGTATCAGAAATCCATCATTCTCTTTGACATTAGCTTATACCCGCATTTGTGGTCCATTGTGATTCTGTCAAGGCCTTTTGACCAAAAATCCGATGTGAAAGATTGCGTTGGCATTCTCAAAGCTGTGAGAGTATTCTGCTCAATTCCTATGAATGACCTGACCTGCCATAAGTACATGGCCTAATATCAGTAAGCTCTGATCTCATAACCAGAGGCAGATATGGCCATTCTTCTGTGAAACTTGTAAACGTATCGTCAGCCAAATGGAAGCATTTTTTTATTGATATCAATGATTTTTCAGTAGAGCCCTTTTTTCTTTTGTATGTTAATTAGTCTATTTGAATGCTTCAATTCTTGTCAAAGATGTTGGCGATAATAAAGCATGACTTTCTGTGGTCTTTTGTGGAAGCCAGAATGTTGTGTCTGCTTTGTATTGAAACGTAGAACTTTGTATTATGTAACATTCGAGAATAAATTGTTCTCTATTGTTTTGTTTTGTTGTGAGAAGTAATGTTTTGTTTTGTTAGTTTTTCTATCTGTTGTTGGTGATTCTCTTTTGTTAATGTTGCCCTGTTGTTTGGTGTTGCTTTGTTTGGTGGCTGGGCCGTTTTGGGTGTTTTGGCCTGTTGTTGTTGTGGTCTTTTGGAGCCGTGGCCTTCCTTTCTGTTGGGTTTGGTTGGGTGAGTGTTGGTTGTTGTTTTGGTTCATTCCTTTCTCTTGTTGTGGTTGTTGTGAGGGTTTTTTTGTGATTCTTTGTTGCTGGGTTGTTTCTTTTGGTGGTTGTTGGGTTGTGGGTTTGCTGGTTCTTGGGTTGCTTGTCTTCTTTTCCTTTTGCAGGTTGTCTTTGAAGGCTTTTTTGCAGGTTTGGTGGCTGCTGTTCGTTTGGCTTTCGGTCGAGGACTGAGAATCTGCTTGTTGCTTTTTTTAACCTTTTTTTTTTCATTTGGTTTGTATGATTTTTCTATTTTATTTTCTTTACATTTCATTGTAATAGATAGAACTATCGGTTTATAGGTTTTATTTCAATGCCTGTATTTTTAGAGAGCTGAAGGTTCTTTAAGGACTTGTAATCTCTGTTTTAAATCAACGTGTAAACCTCTATGTGAGTTTTTATTAAAAATAAACAATAAAAAAAATTGTTTTCTATTTTTCGTACCTAGAATATTCTTTATTTAATGATTACTGCTCTTTTTTAGAATATTTGTTGACTTTACAGTTCAATTTTTGTATAATTTGAATCCATGTCTCGTTGTCTTATGTGCTCTAAAAAAAGCATGTAGTAGTAATATAACCAAATGTGTTATTTATAGCAGCATACGCAGTACAATTCATCATGTATGTAGATTTTATGTAAGAGCAAAAGCACAAGTTGAAATAAGGCATCTTTACTTTTATCACCTGCACTGTATCTAATGCCACAAAAAAACTCCATGACGAAGAAAGAACAATGCAAAATTAAAAGATTTTATAAGTCGTAGAATTGGCCTCCACCCACAGCATCATAAAACACTTCCAGCTTCACTTCCAGGCTCTCCAGTTCATTCCAAGATCTGCTCTTTGAATCAATCCTCCCTCTCCTTCAACTCTTCAATCCTTTCAAGTGCTTCCCTCATCTCCATTCTATTCTCCACAATCTCCTCGCAGCAGTCAAGTCCAATCTTCAGTAGCTTCTGTATCTCACCTCGGCCATTTTCAGTGTCCCGCATGTCGCAATCGAAAACCTCGCTGTTCCATTCCTCTTCCATCACTAAACCCACCCAGGTGGCAAGATCGGTGCTGCCGCTGGAGCCCTTGTGGAGGAAGTTCGCCGGAAATTTGCCTGTGAGGATCTCGAGTATTAGTATGCCAAGGCTCCACACATCACTCTTCTTCGACGGGAGGCCAAATTGGGCGACTTCCGGAGACTTGTAGGCAACCATGACCTGTGTTGCGTGGGCTGAGTTCATAACTGGGACCAAAGCGTAGTCGGTGAGGAGAGGTTGGAAGGTGTCGTTGAGGAGGACGTTGGAGGACTTGAGGTGGCCGTGGGGGAGGGTTAGCACCGGCAGCTCATCGTAAAGGTAGGCCAATCCACGGGCTACTCCCTTTACTATCTTCAACCTCGTCGGCCAGTCGAGCGGCGGCAGAGTTGACCCACGATTACCTGCTCTCCACACGCAAGAAAGGAGCAAACATTAGTATTTCTCGTGTGTGTACAATTATATCCGAACGGTTTTTTACCGTTCGGACTCCGCACGGAATAATTTCTCTAGGTGTGGATGACTTGCCAACTGCATACAAATACATGAACAAGATGTATGCAGCCATGAACAACACATCATTCATCTATGCCTTATAATTTCTCTGCTTTTAGAGCCTTTTAGCTGCACTTAAGATTTAAGTTTTATTTGGGATAACTTTTTTATTATTTTCTAAAGTATAAATCCATGTACAATGGTGGGATTTAACAAATCTTATATTCAACCAATAATAAGGTAATAAGTCGTAACTGAGATTTGCCAAAATCTTATGAGGTTGAAATATTTTGATCATGATGTATCTCAAAGCTCTTAAATGAGTGTGATATTTAATATTATACTCACTAAGGGCATGAAGTTTCATCATGATCATATTTTGATTATTAAATTATGATATAATCTTTTCTAAAATTTAAAATATCTAAAATTATATTTTGATAAGATTCAAACTGAATTTTACTTGAATCCTACCAAAAAAAAAATGAAGAAATTGTTATGTGCGGACATCGAACTCTGGAGGTTAATTAGAACGAGCCATATCATTTGATACACAGCTGTGTATTTGATGCGCCGCATTCTGATTGATCTCCAGAGGCCATTCAAAATCCGCATGGGATAGAAAAATACCCCTTAAACTAATGTTGAATAAATGAATTAGTTACCATGGAGCATGTGAGCCAAGCTTCCATTTGCAATGAATTCAGTAATGAGCAATTTGTCCTCTCTTTTATAGTAATATGCGATCAATGGAAGGAGATTAGGATGCGAGAGCCTCCCTATCCTTCTCATGTGCTCGTTGAAGTCTTCTCTCCCCACTCCGTTCATCTCCTTAAACCTCTTGACGACGACGGTGGGACCGGGCGACAACACCGCCTTGAAAGACGAACCAAAGTTTCCGCTTCCGAGCACCTCCGCCGATGCCCTAAGCAGGTCGTGGAGCTCGAATCTCTCCCTTCCTTCTTGAACGAAAGCCAGCCTCCCGCACTCGCTTTTTCGTCCGCCGGAAGTTTTTCCTTCCACCGGTCCGGCTGCTGTGGCGGTGGCTGGCTGTTGGTGCTTTGAAGCCGTACCCAGCTCCAGCTTTTCGCCGTCGTCTTCAGTGGTGGCGCACGGGCGACCAATCACCTTACTGGTTTTCTGGCGACGGCGAAGTGCTAAGAGGAGGAGGAGGAGGAGGAGCAAGGAAATGATGCAGGCAATAATGATTATGAGAGAAAGATGCCAGCCGGAGCTTCCTTTATGCTTTGCTGGTTGGATTTTGTTGTTGCAAATCACGGTGAGAGGGGCGCCGCAGAGCTTTGGGTTTCCTGCAAGCCGCTCACAGTAAGCACTTTTCTTGATCGATAAATTTATTTAGTGGGATTTATAAATCTACCACTTAAAATTTTATATGCAGTTCTACAATATTTTAATATTTAAATTATATATATATTCAATCATATGTATGCAATTTTTTTATTTAATATTAAGAGTTATGGTATTATAAATTTCATCTATTTATATACTAAATAATTATATCATGCTAATATTTAAATAAAAATAAAATTAAAGTTGGTGGTTTGTAATGACAATGGGGAGGGGATTCAAATTTGAGAATTCAAGCATGATTGATGGAGTTTTTAGTTGTTATCATCGACTCGATCATTGCTTGAGCAATAATCGAGCACATTGATGTATGCATTAATTGTTATGGTTTTAAATGAGGTGGGGATTGATAAGAGTTGAAATTATTCTATGCGGGTACGGAGGCCGTCCGGAAGTGAATCAGAACACGTCACATCATTCATTTGCTGTGTACCATGACTGTGTATTGGGTGACGTAGCGCGTTCTGATTTATTTCTGAACGGTTCGGTATCCGCACAGAATAATTTCTAATAAGAGGGGGTGTATCATTTTTGTATCTTTTGATGAAAAAAAGCAATAAGTTCATGCGGGTGAAGGTGTTTTTAGCTCTCACTATGTAAGAGTTCATTAATTATTTAATTACTAAAACTTTTGATTAAATTTGTTCAATGTAGCCTATAAAGTTAAGCTAATGTGATAATTTTGTTATTATTTAAAAATTGAGTATTAAATAATAATAAAAATAATAATTATTATTATTAAAAAAAAGTAGGTACCTTGAAATAAAGCGGGGTCCATCCTACTGAGTCGATTTGGAATAGCCCCCTCCAAACGATTAAAAGACACGTCAACAATCGTGAGGCGGCGCTGGCCGAAACTCGGTATACCGCCGGCGAACTTGTTGTGATCGAGACGGAGCTCAAGCAGCTTACCAAGGCCAACAAGCGATCCCGGAACAGGACCGACAAAGCCATTATTCGATAAAAAAAGCTTCTTTAGGGATCTCATGCCCACAAACGCATCCGCCGGAATCTCGCCGGAGAAGTTATTCCTGGAGAGATAAACAGCCTTGAGAGCGCCGAGGAGCTTAAGATGAGGAGGCAAAGGTCCCTCGAGCTTATTGCCCATGAAGCTGATGGTACGGAGGCCAGGTAGGGGTATTAAAGGTCGGAGATTTAGGGTCCCGGAAAGGCTTCTGTTCTCGAGCTGAATCCCCCAAACGCGGCCATTGAAGCAGATGACGCCTTCCCAAGTGGTGGAGTTTAGAGTGCAGGGTGCGGGGCCGGGGATCCAGGATGGGAGATCGATTGATAGGGTGGCTTTGAATCTGAGAAGTGCTTCCCCTTCCTCGGCGCCGGCGGATTCGACGGTGATGGTCGAGTAGGCAAGGTAGAGGAAGATGAGGAGCCATGGCGCCGCCTGACTGGCCATGGAGACAGGCGGCGGGGTGGGGGAAGGCCGAAGAGGGGGACGGAGAGGAGAAAGCTGAGGGTTTTGATTGAGGCCAGAAGAAATGGGAGGAAATTAAGGCATATGATTGCATGGTTGTTGGGAGAGGAGGGGAGGTGAAGGGGAGGTTGGGGTGAGGGTGGCTAAGAATAGAATAGGGTGGAGAAAAATGGGTTGGTGCTCTTCATGTTTGATTGGCTCCTTCCTTAATTTGGAAAAGAAATTGACTCAGAATATTTTTCTTATTAAAATTTTAATCATAATATTTATAAAGTCATCAAATTTAAATGAAATATAAATTTTTTATTTATTAAAGTTATTCAATTTATTTTTTTAGATTAGTGAAACATAAATTTTAATTTATTATCTTCATATCAAAATGTTTGAAGTTCATCATGAATCATGAATTTAGTGGCTATTAATTATATTATATGGCATAAAAATATAAAATATTATGCTCTAATAATAATTCTTATATTTTATTAGTGAAGTACAGCTTGGGAGAGAGAATTAAAAATTTTAGTATAAAAATTTTAATGTTTATATTAAAATTTTTTTGTAAGAAGCAGTAAGAAAATCATTCCAAATCTAAGCCTAAGGTTTCTAAGGTGCTTAATGAGATATTCTTGTCCTCTAAAGGAAAGGAGTGACTCTATCAATTTTATTTTTACTTGAAGAATGTGGTTTCAGTGTTTGTATATGGTATATGAAGTAATTTGAATGTAGAGTAAAATGAATACAAATATTTTAAAATTTTAGATTTTTGATCAGAGTAAAAGAAATGCAAAGTAATTCTTCGTGAAATTTAAAATATCTTACTTTATTCTTTTTTTTTTTTTAATTTATTTCACATTCTCTTAAACCGGACAAATTCAAAATACACAAACTCATGAACACCCCATTTGAAGACTTCAATATTTCATGCTCTTTATTGTTGGTCGGTTCAATGGTTTCCTAATTGACATAATTGAGAATAACATCAAGTTTTTATCCCACTACGTGGGGTCAAATACATGAATCTTTCTTCTCCGTTGTGTTCGGGTTAAATTCTAATTTAAATCTAATAAAGAAAGATCATTTCTAATATTTTTTAACTAAGGCTTCCTTTGAGACTGCTTTTTTTATTACTTCTTAAAATGAAATTTTAGTACAAAATTTTTAATTTTTATATTAAAACTTCGTTTTAAGAAACAATTAAAAAATCTTCCCAAACGAAGTCGAAACCTTTTTAGATCTATTTTCACCTTTCGTAACAACATGAATCAGATCTAATATATCTACTCTTCTAATCGAGTTATTGAAAGGCTGATATTTTGTTGATCGAACAAAAAGAAAATTTTTTTATAGGATAAATATTTTTATGTTCACAATAAAATTTATATATGTATTATTCGGGAGTCATGATCATAATAATAGAAATAACAAAATTACTCCTTAATTGTTCAGTACTGACGGCAGGCGTTTCCATTATTCATAAATATAAGCTGTCAGTAAAATTGCAGATCTCCATTTGAAATATTGCTCCTCTTCCAACGGCTATATCGTCACTGCTCTCTCTCTTTCTCGCTGTCTCTCCACAGAGCAACCATATTCGATGAAGTCTCTATTGCCGCGGATCGGGAATGTTCCACCTTCCGAAACCCTAACCCCATGCTCGCATAAGGAGAGGACGCCTAGGTTCCCAAAGGAGAACGTCGATCCCAACACCATGCCGCCGGAATCGGCCCTTTTCAAGTCGCCTCTGACATCCGGGAAGCCCCCCAAAGTACGGATCCGGAGTCCGTTTCCTCCTCGTCCGCCGTCTTCCTCAAACCGTCTCAAGCGGAAGCTGAGCTTGGAAACCCTACCAGAAAACGGGTGCACGACTTTCTCTCCCAGCGATTGCGGCGTCCAGGTATCCGTATCCTTCGAAAATTTTGCCCTAGACTAGGGTATGTTGCTGTGAGTTTTGTCATTTTCGTTGGGATCTTTGGTTTGTATGTCAGGTGGTAGTCCGCATGAGACCGCTGGGTAAGGAAGAAGAGGGGGTTCAGATCGTGCAAAAGACTTCCCCTAATTCCGTTTCAATTCTTGAGCACAGCTTTACTTTTGATTCCGTGGTTGATGAAAGTTCGACGCAAGTAGGGTTTCTATGCTCTGAGTTATTTCTTCTTGCACTAGGGAAAATATTCATGTGTTAGCGATGCAATATGAAACATGCATCTAGATTATTGGCATTTCTCCATTATTCTAAAATTTTTAAATTATTTCTAGTGCTTTCAATTATTTTGATGCAGGACCTTAATGTCAAAACGATGTTAGAAAAGAATCTTGCACAATCTAATTTACAGAGTTTTATTAACTAAAATACTCGTAGTGATTAAATGAGGAAATAAAACAAGATAGAGGTGTGATGGGGACATCAGTTGGAAAGTCTACCGCCGTCGTGGCCGTAGATCTACGGCCACGATCTGCCCGATGTATTTCTGATTTTTGTTTGGTCATTTTATGAGATGTATTTTTATTTCTGCATTTTTCCCTTTTTACCCTTGCTTGAGGGTTTGAGTCTTGTAGCCCCTCGAGGGTATTTTAGTCTTTTATTTTATGCCATTGTATCAGGCTATTTATAGCCTTCATCTTGTACTTTTTGTTGGTGAATGAATGATATGAAAATTTTCCTGCATTGTCTTCTTCTTGGAGCTTTTGTGAGAGCTTGAGAGAGAGAGTTGTGAGCTTGGTGGAGCGTAGGAGAGGCCACCCGTCGTACCCAACAGTCGCCACCGGTGGCTCTTGGTTTATCTCCCTTTCTCTATTTTTCTTCTATCCACACCCACCGCCAACCACCCTCTCCACCAACAACCATTTCATAATTACCCCTAGCCAAGCCTCACCACCTCCCCAAGATCCACCGCCCCTCATCCTGCCGGCATCACCTAGGCCGCCGGCCTCCCCCTTGTTATTTCCCCCACCATCTCCTTCTACACAAATTGTTAATTCCCTCATTGCTTCTCCACAAAATTTCAAATTCTGAAATTCAAGGTGGAAGTTTCCAAATTTGCCCGACATCAAATTAGGAAAGTTTTCAATGAGATTTCAAATTTCAAATTTTGAATTTGAGCGGATTTGAGAATTTCATAATTAATTTGGCGAAGCGAATTAGGAAACACATAACTCCTTTTCCCTCACTCCCAATCCCCTCTACATGCCGCCGGCCTCCCTTAATGGGCCCCCCCTCCTTTAATGCTTCATTAAGGGACTTAATGTCATGCGATTTGAATTTCAAATCCCTTTAATTTCCCTCCAATTTTACTTAAATCTGAGAATAATCTCAGATTTGGAACTTAAGTCAATTTCTTGTCCACCCAACCTAACTCTCTTCCAAACCCTAACCTCTCTTTTCTCCTACAAGCCGCCGGCCTCTATTTCCCCCTCCATCTCTCGCCCTCTTCCTCTATGATATTCTCCCTACCACTTTGCCTATGACGAGTGGCCAATCCGGAACTTGAGTTTGGCCTTGCATATCAAGACACTTCTTTGAGAAGTATTCACCTAGCCTTTGGACGGAGCAATTATTGGAAGGTACGTGGGGTTTCTACATCGTCTCTCCGTGAAGGTGATTTTTCTTCCTTGATTCTTTTACTTTCGAATTCCAAATTCTTCGTGAGAATTTGTTCAAAGCAAGAGATTGTGTCTACTTATTGCCATCCACTAGTATTCGTAGGAATTGTTACTTCTTTGCTTTTGGATCTCGTTGTTAAACAAGGATTATGTTGGAAACTATCCCGCATGCATATTGCTTTATTTTCCTACGTGTTTTGATTCCGCTTAGCATTTTGTGTAGTTTGGCCTAAACGGAAGTGACCGTTTATTAGTTTTACTTTGTTGTTTTAATCACTAATAACGAAATCTGAAATTGATCTTAAAATATTTTGTGTAAGTTTCCGAATTATGCATGTAGTCCTGCATCAAGGTGAGATTAGCTTAGGCCAAGTCACACTACTAGAGATTAGGATCGCAAAATAATCAATGGTTCAAAACATAACGTACATGAAATATTTCCAACAAGAAATCTCTGCACTAACAATGAGATTAGTCACTATAAAAAGATCCCTCAATCAATTCTCTAATAAATTTGGCTTGCGGAGAGAGTCTTCATGACCTTTGTGATGCCAAAATAAAGGGTGATAAAGTAGGTAAAGAGTCAGGAGAAGAGTTTACCAAAAGGAAGTAGATACGTAGCTCCTGTGTGGTCATTTTGGGTGTCGAAAACAAGAGGACAACAATCACGAGCCTTCTAGATGTTGTTGGGCAGCAATCTGGAACTTCTGGATAGCTCACAACGGTCCCCGGTTGTTGGGACAGTAATTTGCTATATCCAGGAAATCTGGACAACAAACGATTATTTAGAAATCCCTTGGGATTAATGGCAGGGAGGGGGATTAGAAGAATTATTTCCAAGAGGAGATGTGGGGTGGTGAGGCTTCTTCTATCCTTCCTTCATTGGGTGGAGTATCAAGCCAAGGACAATGGTGGAGAGAGGATGTGGGGGGGTCGGCCAAGACTAGGAGGGAAAAAGCCTTTTCCAAAAATCTGGACTTGAAATCCAGATTTGATTAGAAGGGGGATTAGGGTTTGAAATTTGAATTCCAATCAAGGGGAGGGAAAGGAAAATTATTCCTAAATGAGAGGATTAATTTAGGCTCTCAAGAAGGTAGGAATTTAGTAGGGGAGAGAGAAGGGGGGAGGGGAAGGGCCAGCGACATGCATGGGGTTTGGAGGGACTTGGGGAAAAGGAGTTTAGGCTTGCCTAATTAATAATCTCAAATAGGGAATAAAGATCTTAAATCAAATCCATTTTGAATTTTAATTGTACTAGATTTAAGTAACTTTCCTAAAATAGATTCTCTTAGTTAGGAAAGAATTTTCAAATTCAAATTGATTTGAAATTTAAAATTAAACTTTCCTAAATTAAGATTTATCACTTATGGAAGGTATTCAAAGTAGGGATTGAATTGTGGAGGCTAGGGGAAGGAGATGTGGTCGACGGCTAGGGTTAGGGCTAGTGGGGTTTTGGCAGTTTGAAGGTGGGGGAAAGGGTGGCCGGCTAGGTTTTGGAGGGGAGGTGGGATTTCGGTTGGATGAATGAGGGGATTGTGAGGGCAGGCAGCTTAGGGAGGAGGAGTGGACGGATGCTTAGCCGGCGGCTAGTGGAGGTTTTGATGGGAGAGGGCTGACGGTTTGAGGGTGGAGGAGGAGACGGAGGCAGAAAGGAAGTGAAAGAGATAAAACCACGAACACGGATGCTTCTTGCGGTTGGTGGGTGATGCGTTTCCCTTCACCAAGGGACTTCTCCAAAGCTCTCTCCTAGAACTCTCAAGCTCTCACAAAACTCATGGATGCAGAAATTTTCATAATAATCATTCACCTCAAAGATGGAGGGGAGAGCTTTAAATAGCCCATACAATAAAGAAAATACAAAAGACTCAATTGCCCCTAGGGCATACACATGACTAGGCCCTTAAGCGATGGCATAAACGAAAGAGTATAATAAACTTATGAAACATAATAAAATAATAAATCTAATACAATGATAATCAAAAGTAGATCAGTGTGACCGTGGCCGTAGATCATCGGCCTCGCCTCTGGTGAACTTTCCAGGCCTGATGTCCTCATCATATTTGCTTTAGGGGGTTATCTTCATTTTAAATTAGATGAAAGTATATTGATGACTTGTCTAGATTTAAATTTTAAGGTAGTTTAATTTTAAGTGTAACCCTATTTCTATAAATAGGGATTTCAAGGCTTGTTATAGTATTATCAATTATGGTTGAAAATTAATGAAATCCTTGTTTCCCTCATAGGTTCTTGTTTCACTTTTTTATCCTCTTCCTTTATATTTTAATTTTCTTCTCAATTTGGAAAAAAATTAGAGGATCCCCTTTCCCTCTTTAGCGACTTAAAAAAAAAAAAAAACTCAAATGCCTAGAAAAGTCTCTCTTGCTGTGTATATTTTCTTGACATGATCCCCATACTATCCTTCATGGTTTCCTCCCCCCATTGGATCTCTTAAAGATCAGCTGGAACATATGAACATGTTAACTTGCTTTAGTAACTACAAAATTCTCCTATCTTTATTTACAATCAAAATTACAAAGTATTAAGAAGTTGTCATGGATATGATTTAAACTTAACTCATATATTATACTCCTTATAAGTATGATAATAACCTTGAAAATGTTATATTACACGAAATTGTATGAAGACTCTATGCCCTTTGATGAATGGATGGATTATTGCTTGAATGAGTTCGTGGATCAAAGAATGATTTTGCATATAACTCAAGCTTGTTTCATGATTTCAAGTAAGTATTATTCATTATCAATATTAAAACCAAGGGCTTCAAAAATTTGCGCTCGGGCCTATATGCATGGGAAGAAATTTAACGAATATTTCAAATTTAAAAAAATATTAGATCTAAGATAAAACATTATCTAGAGAATTTTGCCCACATTTTATGAGGATTTTAAGATCTAAGTTCCTATTTTCCATAAGCGCAAGCTCTTATGGTTAAATGCCCTTGGGGTGATTGGAAAGTACTTTTGATTAAGCTAATTATTAAATAGGTACTAAGTATCGATCAGATAATAGTACCAAATTTGATATAGGATTTAAAATTTACCACCTTATATTTAAAATGGTTCTCTTGGATTTCTTGTCTCTACAGTCATCTCTCTTCCATCCTAGTGCAATGTTCTCTCAATTAAGAATTGAATTCATAGAAAAAACAATTAATTCCAAAGCCAAATTCAAGAGGAGAAAGAAATGGGAAATGAAGGAGATCCATCATCAGCTAGGCTTTATAAAAGATCTATTCAGATTAATTATAAAAAATCCTAGCCACCCATACCCTTCCTTCCATTACCTTGACGTGTTTCACACTACCACCCTACATAGATTATGCTCAGAAGATCATCTGGAACATATGAACATATTAACTTGCTTTTGTAACTACAAAATTCTCCTATCTTTATTTGCAATCAACATTACGAAGTTATTAAGAAGTTGTCATGGATATGAGTTAAACTTAGCTCATATATAATATTCCTTATAAGTATGATAATAACCTTGAAAATGTTATATTACACGAAATTGTATGAAGACTCTATGCCCTTTGATGAATGGATGGATTATTGCTTGAATGAGTTCGTGGATCAAAGAATGATTTTGCATATAACTCAAGCTTGTTTCATGATTTCAAGTATTATTCATTATCAATATTAAAACCGAGGGCTTCAAAAATTTGTGCTCGGGCCTATATGCATGGGAAGAATTTTAATGAATATTTCAAGTTTCAAAAAATATTAGATCGAAGATAAAACATTATCTAAGGAATTTTGCCCACATTTTATGAGGATTGTTTTATAATAACTTTTTTGCCCTATTTTATAAGTTGTTTATTTACATTTTAGATTTACAATGAGCAAATAACCGACTTGTTGGATCCGACACAAAGGAATCTACAGGTTAATATTTAAGTTCAGCAGAAGTGCCTTTTGTGTGTGTAATGGGCCTTTTGGTCGCCACTTTTCTGAAATTTCATGATCGTTGTTGTAGATAAGAGAGGATGTAAAAACTGGAATATATGTTGATTGCCTAAAGCAGGAGTATGTCTCCACAACAAATGAGGTCATCCAATTGCTGATAAAGGTAAGCCAAATTGAGATTGTTTGATTGTTCCAATTTCAATGATTTTGATAGTTAAGAAATTTTGATTTTAAAATTTCAGTTTTATAAATGTATACTTCATCTATTTTTCTAGTTGTAGCGATGCAGCATGCAACATGCATCTAGATTATTGGCATTTCTCCATTATTCTAGTAATTTTAAATTATTTCTAGTGCTTTCAATTACTTGCTTTTAGGGGGTTATCTTCATTTTAAATTAGATGAAAGTATATTGATGACTTGTCTAGATTTAACTTTTAAGGTAGTTTGATTTTAAGTGTAACCCTATTTCTATAAATAGGGATTTCAAGGCTTGTTATAGTATTATCAATTATGGTTGAAAATTAATGAAATCCTTCTTTCCCTCATAGGTTCTTGTTTCACTCTTGTATCCTCTTCCTTTATATTTCACTTTTCTTCTCAATTTGGAAAAATCAGAGGATCCCTTTCCCTCTTTAGCGACTTAGAAAAAAAACTCAAATGCCTAGAAAAGTCTCTCTTGCTGTGTATATTTTCTTGACGTGATCCCCATGCTATCCTTCATGGTTTCCTCCCCCCATTGGATCTCTTGTCTCTACGGTCATCTCTCTTCCATCCTAGTGCAATGTTCTATCAATTGAGAATTGAATTCGTGGAAAAAATAATCAATTCCAAAGCCAAATTCAAGAGGAGAAAGAAATGGGAAATGAAGGAGATCCATCATCAGTTAGGCTTTATGAAAGATCTATTTAGATTAATTATAAATCCCAGCCACCCATACCCTTCCTTCCATTACCCTGACATGTTTCACACTACCCTACATAGATTATGCTCAGAAGATCATCTGAAACATATGAACATACGAACTTGCTTTTGTAACTACGAAATTCTCCTATCTTTATTTGCAATCAACATTACGAAGTTATTTAGAAGTTGACATGGATATGATTTTAACTTAGCTCATATATAATACTCCTTATAAGTATGATAATAGCCTTGAAAATGTTATATTACATGAAATTGTATGAAGACTCTATGCCCTTTCATGAATGGATGGATTATTGCTTGAATGAGTTAATGGATCAAAGAATGATTTTGTATGTAACTCAAGCTTGTTTCACGATTGCACGTATTATTCATTATCAATATTAAAACCGAGGGCTTCAAAAATTTGCGCTCGGGCCTATCTGCATTGGAAGAATTTTAATGAATATTTCAAGTTTCAGAAGATATTATATCGAAGGTAAAACATTATCCAGAGAATTTTGCCCACATTTTATGAGGATTTTAAGATCTGAGTTCATATTTTCCATAACCGTAACCTCTTATGGTTAAATGTCCTTGGGGTGACTGGAGAGTACTTTTGATTAAGCTAATTATTAAATAGGTACTAAGTATCGATCAGATAATAGTACCAAATTTGATATTGGATTTAAAATTTACCACCTTATATTTAAAATGGATGTTGGGGGGAATAATGAAGAAGTCCAATCAAGATCTCATGATTATGCCATCTTGATTTATCATGATATATATACATGATTTTAAAAAAAAAAAACAAGATAAAAAAGACAACAATTATTGATCCTTGTGCAATTCCTCATGCATGTTGATTAGCATGATGTCGCTTTGCGGGTGGAAAATATCATCTTTCAACTCGTGCAATGACCCAAGCAATATGGGCCTTTTTCAAATGTTTTTAACATTCTGAATACATTGGCAAAGTTTGCTTCGCGAATAGAGACGTTTGATCTACTTCACACAACATTGTGTCCATAAATCGTCAATTTTTATTGCGTTCACTCGAATCAAGCATGGGAGGCCCTTTCTTGGCAACTTCATCATTCCAAATGCAATGACATAGTTCGTTGCTGAGCAGATGGATTTGGCGATTTGGTGTGACGTCGTGCTCATAAACTATTGTTTTCGTGGTCGCTCGATCAAGTTAAGTGTGAGTGGTTATTCTTTAATAAATTCGACGTTCTAAATACAATGACATAGTCTATTTCACAAATGAACTATGCTTGAGTGATTTTAATTATCATCGAGGCATTTTGAGCTTGTTAAGTAGGACGTCACATAAGTTAATATTCGTTCTTCGCACTTGTTAGAATTGGCCGTGGCACATACAGAGGTCAACAAAACTACAAAAAATCATATTACGACATACAATATAACAATAAGTATATTATAATGGGCATTATGATTGTGGTAGTTATATTACAAATTTGACTTTGTCAAGTGCAATATTTTTAGATTTGTACCGGGCATTGAACTAGTGAAAGAATGCTTAAGGTTGGATGGTTCAACTGATATCCAATCAAGTGTTTAAGCGTGATAATATAAATATTATTAAAATTAATAAAAAAAAGACAATTTTGTTTTATTTAATTATGATTTCCTGTATCTTTTTAATCTCTATCTCCTATCTCCTATCTTGAGTTTTGAAATCTGACTAATAGGAGTCATTTCTAAATTGAAGATTGTCAACCTCATAAAAATTTACTATATTGCTAAAATCAACTTTGCCGGAATATTTCATGTATTCAACGCTCTTCCTTCTAATTGATTATTTTTTAATATATTTCTTAATATATACATATGTACTTATGTGTATAGGTTTATAAAGAAATGTGTATAGGCTTATAATGGGCATTATAATTGCAGTAGTTATATTACAAATATGACTTTATCAAGTGCTATATTTTTAGATTTGTGCCGGACATTGAAACAGTGAAAAGAAGGCTTAAGGTTCAAAGATTCAATCGATATCAAATCAAGAGTTTAAGCGTGATGATATATATTATTAAAATTAATTGAAAAATACAAATTTTTTGTTTTATTTAATTATGATATTTTGTATCTTTTTAAGTTCTATCTCCTATCTTTATTTTTGAAATCTGACTAATAGGAATCGTTTCTAAATTGAAGATTGTTAACCTCATAAAAATTTACTGAAGCACTGAAATCAACTTTGCCGGAATATTTCATGTATTCAATGCTTTTCCTTCTAATTGATTATTTTTTTAACACATTTCTTAATTTATACATATGTACTTATGTGTATAGGTTTATAAAGCAATGCGCATTGGTTTGCGCGTGTGCGCGCATATATATATAATATCCAATTAATATAATCCATCAAAATGTTATATCTGCACTTTAAATGAAGGGATTTATTTTTGTTTAATTTTGTGATTATGTAGATACCCAAAAAGGTTAAAAAATACTTTTATCTACAAAGAAATGTGTGGTGTATAAAATTTCATTTTTATCTAGCTTCCTATAATCAAAATTGTTAAACACACTCAGTGTGTAGCTTAACCTGCTTAAAATTTCCATTTAATTAATTCACTCCTACATGGAATATGGAATCATTGATTTCGGTACCTTGAAAAACTCATTTGGGCACTAAATATCGTTCTTGTTGATAATGGTTATATTATTCTGAAACTTTATGGTTTTCAACAAGATGATATTCTCATGGATTGGTCCTTATTTTTGTTGATTGACGCATGCTTACTCCATAAACATACTTGTGGTTGAATAATGTACGTTTAACTGAAATGAAAGCCATAAATCTGATTTATTTTCACTATTTTTTTTCAGGGATTGGCAAATAGAAGGATAGGGGCAACAAGTATCAACACAGAGAGTTCACGTTCACATTGTGTTTTCACTTGTATTGTTGAATGCCGGTCTAAGGTGGTCCTTATTATTTTTAATTACTATTCTTATCCTTGCAATATAAAGTTTCGCCTGTTACATTTTTATACCACCTAAGGCATTTACAATCATTTTATGGGAACGACCTCTTGGTTGTTTTGGGGTGAAGGAGGCATTAATTGCATTAAGCGATTATTTGTTAAAGATAGATGATATGGTTGTTTATTTCACTTAGCTTGACTTGACAACTAACTGTTCTCTTCTTTTGTTACCTATGTAGGATTTATGGCGCACCACATGAGTGGAGATGGGGTTAAATTAGGGCACTAAATATCGTTCTTGTAGTTTTTGTGAACTAGTGGTGATTTACAATTGAAAACAACAAATATGAGTAACAGAATATTGAATTAGCAAAAAGTATTTATACACTCAAATATGAACATCAAGAATGACCATGACCGCTCCGCAAGGATAAACTTGCAAGCACTCACAAGAAAAAAAAAAGAAATGTAAGTTTAGGGAATTAGAAATTATGACAATCCAGACTGAGATTTTAATGTCGTTTGCGCAATTTTTTACATCCACATCCCAAACATCATTCTTACAAAATTCACTAATACCCTTTCTTTCATTGGATAAAAGATAAGTCTTATGCAATCCTTATTTTTGGTAGAACTATTACATCCTACCCTTTTATGGCTATGTGTACACACTCCTTGATTCTCACCTAGGAAACCTGTCTTAACTTGATGAGTACACCACTAAATGGACATAGCATAAACTATAAACTTACAAGCAAGATGAAAACATTGCTGAGTCACGCTCAGATTGATATAAAAAAGGCTTGGATGACCATATAACTCTTGACGGCAATGCCAAGAAGATATCAAAATGAAAGCTTAAGTGTATGGAATGAAACATGAAAGATGTTTAGGGAAATCTTTCAAAGATTGAAAAGAACATTCTCTATTTCTGTCATGTCCCAATTTGTCCCTCTTTTAATTATCATGTGACAAAACAAGTGGACATTTTGGATACACATCATTCCCATCACATCTGTCTTGACTTACCTGTTTAGGAACGAATGAGTGAAAAGTATTATGGTTTGATTGTCTAAAAAGCACACGTGATATTTAACAATCATCTCATATATCCATCATAAGTATAAAATGGAAGCGTACATGAATCTTTTTTCTCTATGGTGTCTTGTTAAGAGTCAAATTCTCATTTAATAATAATAAAAAAGGTCATTTCTAATATTTTCTAACCAAGTCTTTTTAGGTATACCTCTACCTTTCTTAATATAAGCCAAATCTAATACATCTACTCTTCTAACCGGGTCATCGGAAGGCCGTCATTTTTGTGACCAAACCATCTAAGGTGACTCTTTCTAAGCTTATCTTCCACTTGAGCTATTCCAACCTTTTCACGTATATGCTTGTTTCATATCTTGTCTCTATGAGTAAATCCACTCATCCACCTGAGCATTCTCATCTTTGCAACACTTAACTTATGTTAGACCATCATTTTGCGCGATTGTTGACGTGCACATACGAAAAAAAAAAAAAAATCATTACCTCTGTTGAAATCCCCGCCTAAATCCTTGTACAGTCAGCTACCCATCCCTGTATCCTGCCGAAAATCTCGTACATTTGACGTCAAATTGTCTCATCACACCCCCTCTACGCATGCCTGCAGTCGCTTTTAAAACGAAGATGAAACATAACTTTACGCTCTTCTCCCACACACAAGAACTCAAAATCCTCCATTCTTCCTCATGCTCTGCGAGCTTCCAAGTTTCCGATCCCCATCCCCTACAGCTGAACGCCTACATTAACCTTTGATCCCTCAACCAAGCTCCCAACCTCCAGGCCACCCACTATGGTGCCGACAGATCCCAAAGCCTCTTTGATTCCCTCAAGGTGTTCATGATTACCACTCCCATACCTACCCCGACTTCGAACCTCCTGTTCGCAAGCCGCGACCAGTTCGCCTCAACGAGACCCACGCTCGACCTCAACTTCGCAATTGCTTGCAACCCTTCGCACCTCACCAGGCCTTCGATCTCAATAGCCGAGATCTCCGAAGATTTCGATCCCGCTCTAGAACAGCAATAGCCGAATCTGATGCCTCTGCTTCCTCCCTACTGTGCCAAATCCCTCGTCATGTGAGCAGGATGAACCTGGCTCCTCTTCCTTGCTTTTAACTGAGCAAACCCCCTAGATCTGATCCCACTAATCCAGCTCGATCACACATCAGTCAAACCGCATGATCTTCCCCTTGACTGCACTGTTTCCCTCACTCCGTTCCACTGAAGGCCCCCGAGTGCGAATCACGCCTATTTTGTTGTTCTTCGCGAGCTGCTCTGACCTCCAATAGTAGCTCCCTCTCCTTGACTCCCTCACAATAGCCGAAACATCTAGCTGCTCAACTCGTCTCCACACTATTGTGCTGTCGGACCCAAATCACAAGCAAGCCGAACCTCTGTGTTTAATTCATGCTGCCTTCTCCTCCTACTGCTTCTCCACACACTCTTTTTTGCTTTCCACAAGTCGATCTCTCCCTTTCACGTTATTGCCTAAGCCGCAACCTTCAGCTCAACAGATAAAAAAACACCAATCCACTCTCTACAACATTTTACCGAGGTGGACAAATTTGAAATCACTTCAACTCAAAAAGAGAAAATGTCTAGTAAAAAAATATCACTAGGATTCATTATCAATCCGCCTCTCACCAGTAATGACGTGACACGTGTCCTCTAACAGGTAGTTTCGCCGTCGAATGACACCATTAAATTACAGTTATAGTAAGAGCCCGTATGTTCCCCAACGACGCTAAATTCTTGAGCAAGGAATCAATATGATATGATCGATAAGGAACAAAACCCTCTGTTAGCTAAGGTGGATACAAATTTGTCCCCTTAGATAACTATTCAGCTTAGGTCTACAAGGTACCCTTGGATGAGACAACTCATGCACAAGGATCCTTTTGTTAGGTTGGGCCAACTACCTCTTCTAAGTGGACTATGAAACATAATGACCCGAGACGATGGAACCATAGGATCTTGATCGGATCCATCATGATCCCCCCACATCTGTTTTAAGTGCAATGTGGTAAATTTTTTATTTTAAATATTAAATCTTCAAATACCAAATCATGATGCCACTATATGTCAGATACTACATATTTGTATGACGACGAGCTTGGAGTGGTTGCTTCATGCTTCAAGGTAGGAGCATTGCGGTTCCCCTCCCCGGTATGTGAATGAAAGGATAGATATGGCTGAGCACTTGAGAAAGAGGTGCTTGGGTAGTAGACCTAGGCGATTGTTACTGAGAAAGAGGATTTTGGGAAGAAGACCTAGGTGATTATTCCAATATAAGTTTGTTTACTACTATTTTACTTCTCACTATCCTGATTACTTTGGCTTTTAATTTTGAACTATTTTTATATTTATCTTCGACATTGTTTAAAATTGCGCAACATGAGACTCACCTCAGCGCAATTCAAGTGAAAAATGCCTCGAGGCTTACACCTCAAGTTTTTTTTTTTAATGAGGCTTGTTCTTTGTTTTAGCTGAGGCCCGCCTTGTGGCATGCCTTGCCTCGCCTCGCTGGCATGTCACCCTATTTATACATTTTTTATTAAATCGTACTTAAAATTCTCAAACTAATGCCCTAACAAATCACGCCTTCATACACACACTGAGCTGTAGCAATTACCACTAGACAACCTCGATCTCTAGCCCACTGCCTTTGTTGCAGCCACCACCGTTGTAGCCGTCACCAAGGATCACTTGAAAGCCCACACCACCACTACCTCCTTTAAAAATTTTGGAGTATTTCTCTCATCTTTATGTTGATGAAAAATATTTATGAAAGAGGAAGATGACTGAAGTAAATGAAGATGAAGCAGAATGAGAAGAATTTGGCTCAACATGATGAAACAACGAAGATACTAATTTATTATTACACTGACTCAAATAAATACCCTCTTAGTGATGACCGTGCAAATGATTTCTGAATTGTTACAAACTATTTTAGCTTTATTTTAGAATTAAATATGGATAAGTAGAGAATTGAGAAAGAATGAATTTGTGTTGAAATAGATGTTATATAATAATTTTATGCAATTTCTATTATTAATATTATTTTACTCTTGTAATATTTGGATTTCAATTCTATTTCATACAATTTATAACTTGTTACTTTACGTCTTGTGCAATTTTTTATTTCATTTGTATGTTAATTTATTACTTCATAGTTCAATAGAAAGTTAATTGTCATCCTTTAACATATTATTTGGTTATTATATAAAAATCACTTTTTAATCTTTATTTTCATTTTACGTAAGTTTTTGATCTTGAGGCGTAAAAATGACTTGAGGCTTACGCCTCACCTCACAAACAAAAAACGCTTAAATATCCAGTTGTGCAATTTTAAACCTTGATATTAGGTGAATTGCAACAACAACAAATAACACAAGCCTTATCCCACTGCATCTTTAGGTGAATTGCAAAAGAAAAAAACCTTTGGTTGTTTTAAACAACCCAATTTAATAAATAAGTTTAATGAATTGCTAAAATGTGTTTAAGATTAGTTAATTTTTAGGGATAATTTTTAGTTTTGCTTGGTAACCAAAATTACGTGGCTTCATCTTGTAACCCCTACAAATGATTATTTGCTAAGAGTTGCATCCGTCTGCTATATTAACTCTTGAATAAACGTTGGATGAAGGTACTAATTTATTTCCCTATTCAAGTGCTTCAATCGTAGTTTTGTGGCATAACGGGTGGGAAGATTAGTTGAGTGGCTTAGCTTGAAGTCCTCAATGTCAACATCCTAACGTGTATTTCGTTTTGAATCTTTCAGAGCACGGAAAATGGTCTTATTAGCTTAAGAACCAGTAGAATCAACCTTGTTGATCTTGCTGGATCTGAAAGACAAAGGGCTACAGGTGCTGCAGGTGAGCGCTTAAAAGAAGCTGGCAGTATCAATCGTTCCCTCTCCCAACTTGGGTATGTTTGTAATCTAATTGTTGTACGAAGATGATGAATGAGATGTTTCCAGCATATATACTACTTTTTCAGAACTTTTAATGTGGGGTTACCAAGAAAAAACAAAGAGAGAAATCTAGTATTTGATGTGGTTCCATTTTTCTGCTGGCCATTCATTGAAAATAATTGCCTTTAGCCATTCATTGAAAATAATTGCCTTTATAGAGCTAATTATGTTGTTTACCCATTTAATGGTTTATCAAAAAAACATATGGTGATGGTCGAAGAATAGCTTGAGCATTTTTCCTACGACTATGAGCTTGAAATGTTCTAATTGCTCGAGCTGAATCTTGAATATGACGTTTTAACAAGAGCTAGTTTGTGTCTTCATAATATAAAATAAGCAACGTTGGGTACTGAATTTCATAGGTCTGACTGTGCAGCTCACATTTTATGTTCTATTCATAAATTATTTGTGCTAAAGACACCTTTTCTTGGTTTTTTATGCATCAACTCACATTTAAGGTTTTTGTTTTCTGGTTATGGCCATGATTTATTGTGCACAAATGCACACATACATTTATTTTTTTTGAAGGACCTTGCATGGCATAGTATGTATTTTAAGAGTTTCTTATGTGGTACTTTAACGGAAATGTCAAATCTGCATTGTTTCACAGAGGAAAGAGCTATACCTAAAATTCCTTTGTTTGATATACATTTACCTCTTGTGATTTTGTTTGTAATCTTGTTGCCTTATTTTCTAATCTGTTCCTGAATTATCTTGCAGAAACTTAATTAATATTCTGGCTGAAGTCTCTCAATCTGGGAAACATCGTCATATACCCTACAGAGATTCTAGGCTGACATTTTTATTGCAGGAATCTCTCGGTGGAAATGCAAAGCTTGCAATGATATGTAATGTTTCACCATCCAAGAGGTCAACTCACATCACTTAAACAAGAATATCATTTTCTTTACTTGATTTTCTTACTCCTTTTGATTTTGAAGTTTCTGATTCAATGCAGTTGTAAGAATGAAACTTTTAGCACCTTGAGATTTGCTCAGCGAGCAAAGGCAATAAAGAATAAGGCAATTGTAAATGAGACAACAGTAGATGATGCTAATCTCCTGCGAGAGCAGATACGTCAGCTGAAGGTAGTTATCCTTGCTACTGTAACTAGTGAGAAGCCATGTTCATTACTTGGTTAAAATGAGTTTTGCTTTCCCTTGGGCAGGATGAACTTCTACGAATGAAGTCAAATGATAAGTCAGAAGAAAGTAATGGAAGTTGTTCAATTGGATGGAATGTCCGTCGAAGTTTGAGCCTTTTAAGATTTAGCCTATGTCGCCCAAGAACATTGCCTGTTGAAGATGACAGTGATGAAGACATGGAAATTGTTCAGGAAGGTGTTGAGAGCTCTGGTGCAGAGGCTTATTTGCCTTCCTTGGATGAGGAAAATAGTACCGTGAATGAGGAAGCAACTAAATTTGAGAGTTTTAAGGAGAAAACGCCCTGTTACTTAGATAGGGAAACTTCATCAAGTGAATGCTTAAAGAAAATACCTAGTTTCATCTCCGAGTGTCACCAAGATATTGAGTGTAGGCATGGCAGTGAGGAACATGAAAAAATAGAAGAATTGACTGAATCCTGCAGAGCTCATGTCCAAAGCAAAGAAATAGTTGAAATTGCAATTGAACAAGCTTCCCCCACTCTTGACATGAACGAGCACAATAGGGATGGAGATGAAAAAAAAATGATTCCTGCTAAGAGAAAATTACTGGCCGGAGACCATCCTGAGATAACTGAGGAAATTTCTTCTATTGGAGGAGTTGCTTCAAATGAAATGTTTCCAGGCCAGTCTCATAATCATGCTTCAACATTTTGTTTTAGCATTAAAACACGTGAAACATCCCCAGTTCTGACACCCACTTTGAGTGTCTCGCCTAGAACTAAGACTTACAGTAGGAAAAGTCCCAGGACATCATCATCAACATCAGCCTCTCAGAAAAGTATAAGAGCAGAGGTTGAACGTGATTTAGGCATCGTGAATGTTTCATTTTCTGGTTTGTTGAATAAGAGTAAGAATAATATTTCTTCCATTCATTCCAGCAAGAATTCCCTTGCAACAAATGAAAATCTGGCAGCAAGTCTTCGTCAAGGTCTTGAGGTGATCAATGGCCAAAAGCATAGTTCATCCCTAATGAATTCATCATTCAGGTTCTCATTGAACCCTGCTGATATGAAGCCGCTAACCATCATGGACAAAATTGATACTGGCACACAAACGTTATTTGAAGAACCAAACGGGTTAGAAGATTCATCAGTGCTTATATGTAATTCCTGCAAGAGAAAAGCTCTGACTCTTGAAAATGGAGATATCACCTGGGAATCGGACTTGCAAATGGCCCCCCTCAATGGTTCCCAATCATCCAAGAAGCCACAACCAGCTGAACGATGCAAGAAACAAGTGCCTAAAGTATTTATCTTTAAAAAATGAAAAATTTTATTATGTTTCAATCTTTTGTCTGGTAAATTGAGTGAGTAAATTTCTAGAGGGTTTCTTGATTCAGGCGATGGAGAAAGTCCTTGCTGGAGCCATCAGGCGGGAAATGGCTCTTGAAGATCGCTGTTTGAAGCAAGCAGCTGAAATTATGCATCTCAATAGATTGGTAGGTGCCATTTTGGATTCTTTTTTATTTCAACTGAAGATGGTACTTACTTGTCATCTCATATGTTTGCAGGTCCAGCAATACAAGCATGAACGTGGATGCATAGAAATAATTGAACAGGCTCATGAGGATAAAATTTCTCGACTGGAGGGCCTAATGGATGGCGTTATGCCAACTGAAGAGTTCATGGAGAAGGAGTTTCTTTCCTTAAAAAATGAGTACATGGTTGTTTGGATTCATGCCGCTGCATGCATATTGGTCATTTTTGTTTTTGTTTAAAGAGACTGTTAATCTTTCTAAACGATTTTCCTTGTATTTCAGATACTAAAAGAGAAATATGACAATCATCCTGAAGTTTTGTTGCTAAATATTGAGCTAAAGAAGGTTCAGAATGAGCTCAATAATTATAGAAACTTCTTTGATATGGGTGAGAGAGATGTATTGATGGAGGAAATTCATGATCTAAGGCACTACTTACGATATTATATTGACTCTTCTTCAACGTCTAACCATCCCTTGCTACAGTTGACACATTCAATGGGGTCCATCTTGGCCCCTCTTAGTAAGATATCAGATACAAAAGATGCAAGTGTTGATGAAAATTTTGAGCTTAAGAGGGGAAATTGGACTGACTTAGAGAATAAGTGGATCTCTTTATATAAAGAGCTTAAAACAGAATTGGAAGCTTGTCAGTCTCTTACTGAGAAGCTGAAAATTGATCTTGAATCTGAGAAGAAATGTGCACAAGAACGTAAGGAGGAACTTCAGACAGCATTGCAGGTTCATACTAGGACCTTGGAACACTATGCAGATCTTGAAGAGAAACATATGGCTTTGCTTCAAAAGCATAGGAAAATGAGGGAGGGAATCCTTGATGTGAAGAAAGTAGCAGCAAGAGTAGGTGTAAAATGTGATTCAAAATTCATTGAATCTATGTCTGCTCAAATTGAAACTCTCAGGGAAGAGAGAGAAAAGGAGAGGCTGTATTGGAGGGATGAAAATAAAGGTCTCCAGACTCAACTTAAGGATACTGCTGAGGCTGTATTGGCTGCTGGAGAGCTGCTTACACGCTTAAAAGAAGCTGAAGACGCTGCTGGCAATGCAAAGGTACTTGTTTTTGAATTTAATCTTTCATTCTCACAAGCAATTCTGTTAGATAATGAAAATACATACTGCACTTCTTTTATGAATTTACATGCTTAAATTTTGTGCAACTTTGCAAATGAGAACGCAGAAGAGGTAGACAACTCAATCCAATTATTACTTTCTTTTCAGTGCTTCTATCTGATGTGCTAAGTACTCATGAAATCTGCTCGGCTGCTTCTCAATTTTTGCTGTGTTCTACTCTTTTCTGGGCATTTATGGGTTCATTAGTTGAGATAGATATTTCACAATAAAACTTTTCAAGTTTAGAAATAACTGCCAATCATTAGACATTAAGCTAGTCCATTATCTTTCTCATTCTCCTCGCCTTATTGACTCTAGTCATTAGCAACCATGAGAACTATTTCTAATATTTGAGTTTTCCTGAGATTTTGTATGTTTGTGATTGTTCTATACAATGCTAAATTTTATGAAATAAAGTCTCCTTTACTCTGACAGAGATCAACTAGTTGTTTTGCAATTACCTTCGTCATGAACTCATAGAAAAGGTGCATGTATTGTGTAAGGGGTTTATTAGATTTTATGTGATAGTTTAGAGAAGTCTAAGATGGAGTGGATTGGATATGCAATGAGTTACTTTGAACTTTTTTTTTTTAAATCACCAATTTAAGCTCCACAATAAAACACTTAACAGAAGCTAACATATTACAATTAAAACACTTAATCTAATTAAGTGCACCAGACAAGTGTCACGACCCGGCCTAAGCTCCACAATAAAACACTTAACAGAAGCTAACATATTACAATTAAAACACTTAATCTAATTAAGTGCACCACACAAGTGTCACGACCCGGCCCGGTTAGCTCGTAAATACGAGGCGGGAACGAAATCGGTCGTTCAGAACAGTTCAATTATCAAATTTCATGTATAAAAATATTTTTAAAAGACTTCAATAGGAACATAAAAGCGCATCTAAATATTTCATTTCATTTCAAAAGAGATTTCATATATATACAAGGTGGCTATAACATTTAACTATTCATGCTATGACAAAATCACCCCAAAGAAAAGTAACTACAACTAGGAAAACAATATAAGAACCCGTCACCCGGGGTACGACGACTGTAAGTAAACCTCGGGTTGTCAGCCATCTCTTGTAGAAGGTTCTCCTGAAAAGTATTCCAACATGAGGGAATGAGCTAACGCTCAATAGGAATCTCTAATCCTAAACATGCTCACATGTCTTATAAAATGAAATTTATATTTTTAAATTAATGGGGACATGCTTTTATTTCTTTTCCTACACATGCTAACTTTCTTATGTCTTAAGAATGATAGATTTTTTATGTATGCCATGTACATGTGTCTTATATATATCATGTAATGAATGTTACTTATTTTTCATATACAACCGTACCAGAGTATCAGGGGTGTACTGATTAGGTACACAAACATCTTTTGGCCATTTATTTCTTTTCCTCTTTTGCCCCAAAGGGCCATATTGTTTCCATATTGCTCATATGTTCTTTTGCACCGTATTTGGTACTCCGAAATCAATCATGCACAATCATTTCTATATTCTTTTCATACGACTATAAATTCTTTTCTTTCCATATAATTTTATATATTTCAAACATGAACTAATGTTTGACATGCATCCTAAACATGAAATAAATAAAGATGAAGTGATTGTTTAACATATGTTTAGACTTGTATCTTAATCATGAAGCAAACATGAAATAAATATAGTACATGTTTAACATGTATCCATTTCCATAAATAAATTTCATAAGGACATAATATATAAAAGTTATAAAAGCATGAATCGTCATGTGGTAATGTAAGGAAAAGAATCCTACCTCAAAACTACTATGCAAGCATCCACTTCTCCTCTTTATTTGTACTTCTTGCCACAACCTAAAGAAAGTAACACAACAAAAATTTATTGCCAAAATAAACTTCTTAAATTCCTCTTATAAGCTCCCTATATTCTTCCTATCCTCATATCCTCAAGGTAATATATCCTCATTCCCACCTATATTTTGATTTTACATCAAATATTTTCGGTTTTACATAAAACCTAAATTATGGAAACCTAAGATTACACTAATGTCATTCCAATTGCTTATAAAATACTCCCCTTTCTTATACATATATATAAGGCATTAAAAATTTCGGAATAAAGCATAAAAATAATTGGGAAAAAGTATTTTTTTCTCAAAATTTCAATTTCTCTTCATTAGAAACCTCCCATGACCCTTAGGAATAGAATTCATTCATGCAAGCTCCAAATTACTAAATTTGGAAAAACCTTAATTTGGAAAACTAAAAAATCTTTAGAATAAAATTCAAATTTTTGTTTAATCATGCTTCTAAACATCTCCTAATAACATTCCTAAACAAAAGAAATGTTTTTCACCAAACCCTAAGTTTGAAACCTAAGTTTTCCTTAAGAAAACTTCTTGCTTATGACATAGAAACATGTTCCTAAACAAGCCCTATCATTCTCCTAAGAAAAACCCAACAAAAAGTAAAACCCTAGAAATTTCTCCAAGAAAAATCTTATAAAAGAGGGAAGTTTCTTGCATAATACACTTACCTCTCTTCTTCCCTAGGCCTCCTCGATGATTTCCTTCCAAAAGCGCGCCGAAAACTCGCCGGCCACCACTTCCCCAAGCTCTCCCGTCGCCTTCTCCTCCTCTTCTCGCGTGCGGCCGAACGAACAAGATTGGGACCGAATGAATCGGTCCCTAAGTGCATGAGGGATTTTAGGAAAATTAGGTAAGAGCCAAATTATGCATGTGCCCCTCTTCCCAAAGTTTCTCTATTGTCATGTGAAGGGCAAAATGTGTACAAGGGTAAAATGTTACTTAAATCATCTTCGGCAAATTTTAATTTCAAAACTGTGCCGAAATTGATATTGGTTATTTATATCGTTTCGATCGAAATTTCGTAACAAATTTAATAAAATTTATTTTGTTGAATTCCGACGACATTGAAATTTCGCTTAAGTTCATCGTGGCGCATCGAAATGCATGCGACGCACTCAAATGACGAATTTCAGGTTTTACAACAAGTTTCCGTAAGGTATATGTTAAAAGATTAGAGAAAGCGAGTTATTGACTATTAAGCTCAATAGAAATGATAAGCTCAACTATATTATGTATTTCAATTGAAACTAGCACCTAAGTTAATCAAGTGATATCACATAAATACAAGTTGAAGTGGTGTTAATGAAATAATGCTTAGGTTAGGGTATTTAACTTGTAGCCTCACAACGCAAAAAGTATAAGAACAACTGTATTGTTCACTGCTTTAGCAATTTAAAGATTAACTAATGAAATAAAAAAATAATGAGCAAATAAATCAAGTATAACGGAAGAGAATAATTTTTAAGTGGTTCAACCACCCAACTGGCCTGTGCACAAGTGTAATCTCCTCATTTAACTAGGATTCCATCACCCAAACTTTATCAAAACAAGCTCAACTTCTTTATCATAGTGAAGCCTTAAGCCACATAATCTCCTTCTAGGAAAATGCAACCCACACACTTTAATATTTAAAAGATTTCTTAACCAAAGTTTTCTTGAACCTCAAATGTTTCTAAAAGAAAATCGCCTAATAAATAAAACTTTTAATCTTTAAATACAAAGATTGTAAATAAAATAATTGAAACAATTTACAAAATATCCTTAGAGAGTGGAGTAAGATTATCGCACAATATCTTTGAGGGCATAATGATGAACACTTGATCTTTATAGTATTTTTTAACTTACAACATCCCTCAAAATTTTTAATGCAGGCACAAGCGTTATTTGTCCATTAGCCCTTTAGGAATGCAGTGAGGGGTCTTTTTTTAGCTCCCCATCTACTGTCAGCCCTTCCCCAGTGGCTAGGAATAGAACTCAAGGAAAAATTACAAGTCAAAAGTTTGAAAATGGCTAGCTAGACTATCATATATTACGATGAATGTACAATTAGTTCGCTTTAAGTTTAAAAATATACTATTTTTATTCTATATACGATTGTATATCATATGCACAACTACATATATATGATGGAGATAAAACACGAGAGTGGTGTCATAAGTTTAGGCTAAGTCACATACATAAAGTTAAAACCACAAAAGTAATCAATTACTCTTAACATTTCATGCGAGGTAGGTTTCAACAATGAATCCCTCCACTAACAATATGACTAGTCACTACAAGATGATCCCTCACTCAAATCTTCCAACTTCTAGGCTTTAGCGGAGAGTAATTAACAAGCTTCTTATGAATCAATTAAATCACATAGTAGGATAACTGTGGGCTCCGAAAATTCCATTTTAGTATGTGTGATCCCGGCCTCTCCATGCCATCCATCAATTTTTCTTTTAAAATATTTGTGTGACGACGACGATAGAGAGTTTTAACGAGATTAGGTTTCGAAGGAATTTTCAGAAGGCAGATTGAGTTTTAGATAGACACTACCCAGAGATTTCGCCCTCATTTAGTGAGGACTTTTTGATATGAGTTCTGGTTTCCTATATGCGCAAGCCCCTATAGTTAATTACCCCTCCCGATAACGAGAGAGAACTTTCGATTAAGGCTAGTCGTTAAGGATGTCACATAGGTTATGAACCAATCATATAATAGCAATAATTTTACGGTTTAAATTTTGAATTGAAAAAAGGATAAGGAAATTTAAAATCCACAAACCTCAATTCTTCATCCGTTAGAACTCACAAAGAGATCTACAACACTACTTCCTCAAGAACTCACAAAGAGGTCTCGAGAAAGTGCTACGAACTCACAAAGAGATCAATAAGAGAAAAAAATTTTCATTCATCAACCTCTAGTACAATGTATGAGGCCTCCTATAAATAGGCCAAAATGAAACAAAAACTAAAAGACATAAATGCTCTCGAGGCTACAATATCAAATGACCACCCCTAGGGATAAAATGGGAAAACATGAAAGCAAAATAAACTAGTACATAAGACACAAAAGAAAATAATAAA